GGCTATGCTTCGGACTCCAAGAAAAAAATCTGGGTAATTTTGATATATCCAAATTTACAATCAGTGTTTTTGGCAGAAATGTGAACTGGTGGATAGTACCGGGTACTACCTAGAGTGAGTGAGCAGATGCCACACACGATACATGACTGGAGAACATTCATTTTGTACAGGTGCATGAGTGTGCGTGTGCGTGCTAATCACAAGGACTGCTGAGAACTGACACGCTCATTCAGACACGTTGACGACTATGTGTCTGGGGTGGGCACAGCGACACATCTTTAGGAGGCATAGGCCAGGTCGGCCCTAAGCTTCTGGCAGGGTCTGACTCTCCTGTGTTCAGATGACGTCTCAGAATCCTCCCAAAGATGCTACACATAGCCATCAATGTGGGGTTGAAGATGAAAATGATTGCCTTAAAGATCAGTACCAGAACTTTGATGAAGAATCTCGATCACCAAAGACTTGATTAAAGTTGATAAAGATTTGCCATTCCCGATTCTTCCGACTGATTCTCATTCAGAGGAATTCCACATTAAGTAGAAATTAAGACTAACGACACTGCTTTGAAAGTGAACACAGCAATGCTCTTTCTGAGAAAAGTGTCTGTCAGTGTGTGGGGTGGGGCCTGGGCAGACATTACGCACCATTGCTAATTTCAAATGCCTGGACATTATTACTTGGCTAATCTGGTCCCTGAACAGTAGGAGTCGCCATGTTCTGTTGTAAATCAACACGGGAGAGGTAAAAGGAAAGACAGTTCCTCTCTGTACACACTGAACTTACTCAACACGTAGCAGGTGGTTTTATTCTTGGTACGACTCTTAAATAAAGAATTAGGGGTATGGCTTTCAACCAGTTAAACCTGTGTTTCTTCTCTGGCGTCTTAGATTCAGGCAATTGAGACTGCCTCAAGCACAATGGCCCAAGTCTTGGCTGTTCAGCTCAGCTTTGTGTGTCTAATTGCAGACACACACACATATACACCTACACTCTCTCTCTCTCTCTCTCTCTCTCTCTCTCACTCTCGTTCACTCTCCACCTTCATCATTAATTTTTCTCTTGCAGAGTCTTACTGAGGCTCCAGGCCCTTGGGATACTGACTTGGGAGAGAAGTCATTCTAACCAACTCTGTGATCACTGTTTCTGAAGGGCAAGCAGACCCTCCTGTCCCAAAGAGAAACAGACACTTAGCTGTCTGGCTTTTCAACACAGTTTCAACCTGACAGCTGTCAGTGGGGCAAGAAAGCAGAAACAAAAGCAAAAATAAATTTGCTGCAATGAGCAGTTAAATAGAGCAAAAGCATGTGGAAAATCGAATTTCTTAACACATAGCACTCAAACATGTAACACATGTTTTCTCATAGTAAAGCTTCTGCTTAAAAAAAAAAAGGCACAACAGGTTACGTGTACCGCAAAGTGCAAAGGAAGGGAGATTTTAAAATAGAAATAAAGCTGAATTTTCTTTCTTTGTAGAAAGAATACCATCAATCTGAAAGGCAAAATTCAGTGCCAAAAGGGATAGGCTGCAGAGAGGAGCCGCTGCCAAGTGTGCTTTACAAGAGTCACACAGAAGAACTCCAGCATCTTTCTTCTTATTTTAATTAAGGAGGAGGCGCTGCAGTCTAAGGACGCGGTCTGGGAGCTGCTGGCTGCGATGCAGATTTGATCTTCTCGTGCTGGTTAGCTAACATTGATTTTCTGCCCCAGTGGAAGAGATTTTACTCTGATGCATGCCATTTAAATTCATTTTACACAGCTGCTTAATGTGGCTTGGCAAGGTACAGCCAAACTAGCTGTGTGGGTCTGAATAGGGCTCCTGAGTTGGTAACAGACAGAGCCGACGGCTCAGCAGCTGAGGAGAAACGCTTTCGCACCCGTGTGATCTCCCTTCTGACTTGTGAAGTGACCTTGAAGGTACCACAGGAAAGGGGAAAAAAGGAGGAAGAGACAATTTCCCGCCAAATAAGTATGTTTACCTAACTCTACATTTGCGATTTCACTTTCAGGATTATGTTTACAGAATTCTGTCTTTGTTGGTCCACACTGAGGACCATGTTTATGGGACTAGAACTCTCAGTTGCAGAATTATCACTGGCTTGTGCTGTCAAGACAAATGTATATATGGAATAAATATGAATCTAATAAAAAGCTCTGTGCCAAGCATTCATACAAGGGGTGGGCGTGTACTTCTCTAAGTTCAGTTTTTAAACAAACCTCGTTTACTGCTCCCCATTTTATTTTAAAAAACTGGTAAATTTTGACTGAAGCTAACTATTGAACATAATTCAATCTATGTAGGATAATCTCATCCTTAACATATGCAAAATGATATCCAAAAGCAGTTTTGCTGCTAAATCACTCAATAATAATATACTTTAAGGGCAATTACTAGCTGAAAAATGGTGGCAGCCTGATATTACACAGTTTTGTAGCAGGAAAGGAAATACTTTTTGTTGCTGTATGTAATTCCTGTGTCAAAGTTGACAGTAAGATGGTTTCTGTTCAGCATTTCCGCGTTGGATTATTTGGTTGCATTTGCCTGGTAGCTTCGATGCCCCACACCTACTCGGGACAAGGAAAAGGGATCTTTACTGAGACAATGAGCCTTCCTGAGCCCTCTGAGAGCCCAAGGCCTGTCGCCTGCTGGGAGGCCAGGCCAAGCGGGGTCCCGGCCCTAAGCTCAGGGTACGGGTAGGAGGAGAGCACCGTAGAGGCAGGAACGACAGCAGCACAGTCATTCCGCAGGACACCACACAAGCGCCTAGACAGCACGAGGACACACGGGTGACACCAGAGCAGGTGGCTCTACGACTCAGACATGGATGGAAGCTGACATTCCCCCTCAGGCGGGAGGGAAGGAAGCATGCCGAAGCCATGCAGACAGGACCTGGGGCGCATGCAGCTTCCACCAACCACCACGGGGCCGGAGGTGAGGAGGAGAAACCAAACAGAACAGAACAAACAGAAAACCCGAAACAAACAAAAATAAACAAAAGACGCCCCCAGAGGAATTCCCTTCCAGGACTAGGGTTTCTTATTGGGGTGTTCTTTGGCAGCCAGATGGCACGTTCAGGAACATTTTGGAAAAAAAAAAAGGCCCAGGTCCCGCAGCAAGTCAGGGTATGTGGCTACCTACCCGTACTGGTCAGGCTGGTGCATCATGGGAGCCTGAGAGTTGCCATAGTTGGGATGCTGGGAAGAAAACATGGGGCGTCCGCCAGCCCCAGACTGGCTGGGATAAGCAGGCGACCTAATGTATGGTGGCCTAAGGTAGAACAGAAGAACAGCTTCTTGGGATTTGTTCCGCAGACAAGCACGAAGCCCCTGTTCATCATGTCACTCCACGCGTGGGCACGGAGGTGGCAGCCCGTGGCACACTACTCTGAACCTGCCGCTGCCTGCGAGTGAACTGGAGGACAGTCCTTTAAAAAAAGTGGGGAGGGAAGCTGCAGGGGGAGAGAGTAGGACTCTCAGATCTCAGCTCAGTTTTGAAATACATCTTTGACTTTGATAAAAGCCAAAAAATATCCAGTTCCCACTGAAGCTCCTGGAGAGCTAACACGGACAGTCCACGCGGGCCAGGCTTTGGAAGGGCCTCCTGATTAGAAAATGAAAATGCAGGGGTGTGCATTTATACACACATTTATACAGAGTGGTACAGAAGCTGATTCAGAAAGGGAGCTGAGCAGGACTTTTTTTAATCAAACAGAATTAGGCCTTAATCTCTATGGTTATCTTCTTCCCAGATCACTATCTAAGACTCCATGTCAAATGCAATCAAGTACTTTCTACTTAAAAAGAAAATAGCTTATGCTTTATGAGTTGCAACAATGGACAATTCACTTAAGCCTAAATTAGAAATCAGAACTTCAATTGGACCAGTCAAGCCAGTCTTCACAGGTAGGTTATGAACACATTTCCCGAAGCTTGGTGGACCCGGCTTGGAGGTGCTGCTGGCGTTTGGGAGATTGTAAGTGACTGTAACATGGATGGCAGAGAGAGACTATGACTGATTTTCATTTTAATTCCTCAAGGGCAATTTGTTATTATTTGGAGCAAACAGTGAGATTGGAGGGGTCCCTAACATTCCCCAAATAGCAGCTTCAGAGGAAAAGTAACAAAGGGACTGATTTAAACACACACTCGCACACATGCACACACACGTCTCTTGCCCTTGGACAAAAATCCCCATCTCTTTTCTGCTGAAAAGCTCTCATTGTCGTTCATGTCCTTCAATGTGCTGTGTTCTTAAAGGGATTTTACCACACATGAAAGGTAATTTAAAATGTTTACATGAGCGTCTTTTAAAACATTCATTTTTGCCTACTAAATTTTTAATTATGTTATTTTTATACAGGTCAAGTGTTTATACTTCAAGAATTAATCTTAAAATTCAGAATCGAAAACAAGCAGGTAATGGAGGCGGAAGTCTTGCTTCATCAAGTCTGTGCATGCTCAGCTACCTTGTGGCTTGGACAGAGAGAGAGGTACACCCCAAAAAAGAAAATGTAACCAGGAATGTGAGTCTATAAATCTCACACATAAACATTTAGACAAACACACACAACACACACACGTGCACACACAGAGCTCGTTATAAAGATTTTTATGGTGAGGGGGCGGGGAAGGCGGAGGGTTCTCTTCCATGCTGCAGATATCCACTAGTTCGGGGACTTCAGATCTGGCTAAGCCTCTCGTCTGCGACGGGGTCGTCTGGCACGCCCTCGCTCCCTGTGTCCTGCTCTGGGCAGCTGGCTGCCATGCCCGCGCAGACATTTCCGACAACCGCCCACACCCGACTCGCCCATCTCTCTGAGATTCCTGCCTCCCAGAACGCGGCCTCTGCTGACCTCCACAGCACAGAACACATTTAACACGAGGGGTAGGCCAAGCACAATCACACACGCTGCTTGCTCTGTGCCCACTGCGTGGCCCGGGGGCAGCTCCACGCTCAGCACGTGCTCACGCGTCCACACAGACCGCCCGCCCCGACTGCATACCTGCTTTGTGCCGAGTTTGCAGCGGCCTGCATCACTGCAGCGGCTGCCTCCTGTGCCTTACGGTTCACGGTGGGCATCGGCGGCCCCATTCCTGGCCCTCCCTGCTGAGACATGCCGGGAGAGCTGGGGGTCATGCTGCTCATATTTCCAGGAAACGGTCTGTTCTGCATCCCCGCAGAGGGCACGCGTCCCAGGGGCAGGGCGCCACAAGGCTGGCCTGGCCCTTGTCCATGCATCTGGTTGTTGGCATTGATGCCCATGCCGGGCCCTGGGCCGCTGTAGCTTGCACTGGGCACCCCACTATACGTTGGGGGTCTGGAGTAGTTACCTAAATGAAAAGCAAACACAAATTAAAGCCTTTTACTTAATATGTGTGAAAGCATCTGCTGGCCATGCATCACATCCAACAATGGGGGGTGGTCACTATCCCTACGAACCCTGCCTCTGTTGGCATCCATGAGCCTGGTAGCCTCAAAGTCTACTGCCTGCACATTCCACAGGGGGCCAGCCGCACTGGGCCACCACCGCGGAGGGGTATCCAGGCCCGTCATGAAACACCCACGAGCAGGCAAAGGAGCCTGGCCCTGAGCTGCTTCGCCGCGTCCACACCTCACATACACCTTGTACATTGTAACCGGAATGTCCACGCCAACCCCAGTCTGGAGGTGACACCCCAAGACTGCGCTGCCATCTCACATCACCTCTGCCAGCTGCGACACAGGGCTCAGAAAGACAACATGCAGGCCAGCCGCACACACTTCCCCCCCAAAGTCCCACAGGAGGCATCGCGTGGACACTCATGTTAGTCTAGCACTGGTCACTCCTCCACCACTGGGAACGACCTGTACTTATTTAGCTATTTTTGGGGTGAGCACCAGATAAGGGGGCCAGTTTGTGTATGTGCATGTTCTGTGCACACCCACAGTCGCGGGAACCATCAGGGCACTCTGCAGTATGATGGAGGTGCCAGGGAGGCAGGCTGGGCCCTGGGTGAGATGAGCAAGTGCTCTCTCACTGCAGCCTGCGCACCCTCAGGTGTGCTCAGTGTGTCAGACAGCTGTGGCGGCCACACGAGTCAATGGCTCCGTTACCTCTCTCTTTCCACACCTTATATTTTGATTGAATGCAAATAAATTAAGTTCCAATAAATGAAAGGCACACATAATGCTACCCCATAACAATAATTGCAGATAATAATAGCTAGGCTGCTAGGCGCGTGAGACACTGGGCTAAGTGCTCTGCATCAATTAATTTGTTCATCCCCCCAGTGAGCATATGAAGTATGGATCTGAACTTGACTCCATTTACCAACGAAGAAAATCTACAGCTAGTAGGTCAGGATTCAAGCTCAGGCAAACGTATTCTGGAACACAAGTAACTGACCAATAAAATATGCCAACTTCCAATAAACGACTTGACATAAATGTAAAAAGACAATTGCTTGTGGATTATGGCTTAGTGTTTCTCAATCAGCCCTTACCACTTTCTGGAAGAAGCTCCTCATAACTGCTCTAGACACAGGGAATAGAAAGTTAAATACCATTCAGTTCCTGCACTCAAGACATTCAAGTGTGTGTGTGTGTGTGTGTGTGTGTGTGTGTGCAGGGGTAAGAGAAAAAACATAGAACAAAAAGACTTTCCTGTGGAAAGTCAGGAGAAAGAGTAAGTCTGACTGGGGGGATGGGGAAGGTCTCTAGAATGAGCCCCTGTGGGGGCGGATCTGGGACCTGGGGGAGCTAGAGACGAGGAGAGACACTGCATCACCCACTGCGTGGCCTGAAATCAGTGGTCTGCTGAAAGTTGATAGGATTGAATCGTGTGACGTATGAAGGTATCTCAAACCGGGATGAAAATGGTAGGGGGCTACCATGGAATGGTGGGTCAGCAGGTGAGGGGGGCACTCAGGGCAGTGAGGCCACAGGCAACTGTGAGAGGGCAGGGCTGGGAGGGAGGGAGGGAGGGAGGGAGGGAGGGAGGGAGGGAGGGAGGAAGGAAGGAAGGAAGGAAGGAAGGAAGGAAGGAAGGAAGGAAGGAAGGAAGGAAGGAAGGAAGGAAGGAAGGAAGGAAGAGCTTCCTTCCAGGAAGGAAGCCTGGTTTAGTGTGGCTGGAAGTGCTGAACCCTGGACTGTGGCTCACTTTGAAGGGGAGGAGCTTCTCCAGCGGAAACCGGATTGGGTCAGTCACACAGAAGCCAAGAGCCCTTCAACTAAGTTCAGGTCCAGTTCTTTGTATTAACTCACTTAGACCACACGCCAAGTATACGTAGTCCCATAGGAACCTGAGGCACAAACCATGGGGGGTGCGGGGGGTGGGGTTGTCTTCAAGTTGGGGGTGACAAGCAGTGGAGCCAGGGTATGAACCTGGACAGATGCCAGTGCAGACCAGGTCCCAGTGACTACACCTGTGCTCCCCTCTCCATGTTGAGGGAAACACTCTGAGACACCCCGAACTCACTGGAGGCCATGTTCTCGTGTGCAATTGTGAGTGCTAGGCCTGCCAACCTGCTGTGAGCCTGTGCTGTGAGGCCATCATGAGAACCTTCACTACTGCACACTAGTCACTGGGCAGGATGCAGAGATCACTGTCCCATAGGCCGCGGCTGGCACATTTTTCATTAAAGGGCAGAACAGTAAACATGCTAGGCTTTGTGGACCAGTCAGTGTATGTCACAATTCAACTCTGCCACTATGCCCAGCTAGACTCCATGCTTCACCAACGGGAACACCTGTGTTCCAATAAAACTTTATTTACAAAAACAGTTGGTGGCCCGGAGTGGGCCACAATCTGTGGGCCCCTGCTACCCATCTTGCAGCAAGTTAACGACACACACCACTGTTGCAAAAAGACCTGTTACAGCTTCTCTGACCCTCATACCACCTGGAAGGTGAAAGGAAAGCTGATAAGGATGCACAGAAGGAGGCACATCGCTGCAAGGACTGGGGTGTGGAGATGGGACAGGAGGAGGAGAAGGAAGGAGCAGGAAGGCCCCACAGGAGTGACCTCATGCTGCTCAGCTGCTCCAGGTCAGCCTTTTATGGTGTTTCCTCAAATGTAGTCCACCTCCCACCTCTGTGCCTTTGCAGATATGATCAAACTTACTGCTCTTAAGAAAAAGATAAAACACTGACTTTTCAGATTCTTCAGTTGCCTCTGGGTCTCCCACACCCTCGGCAGGTGCCCACATGCACCCTGGGGAGCGCAGAGCCTTGGGTATCCTGCTGGGCTCTGCTGGTTATTACTCTTAGGACTTTATGAGCAGGAACTGAGACTCCTCCAAACCCCAGTGACCTCCCACCCCCTCACTTCCAGATTATCTGACAATATCAGAGAAACAGAGTGCTTCTTTTCGGCTCTGGCTTTCATTAAAAACAAAAACACTCATTCATAGTGTGAGTGCGCATGTAATTAACTCACATATTCCCGCTATTACTCGGTGGCTAGTTTCCACCACCCCAAAACTTGAAGAGTGACTCATTTGGTAAGAAACCTTCTTTAGTAAAAACATATGTACCCTTTGCTTTCGAAGGAAATAAAAGAAACTGACACTTAGATGTGGTTGCTGCAGGCGGCTCGCGCCGTGCCCTTGAGCAGAGAGGGAGGCTCAGACAGCTTGGACCTCTCCCTGCAGCTGGAGCAGAGAGCCTGTGGCCCTGCGCTGACTGCAGGCAGGACCTGCAGCTAAAGAACACCGTGGGGAGACATGACAGAGGCGTCTGGTCCCCGTGCCCCATGCCCATCCTTTTCCCACCTAGAAGGCACGTCAGGTGCCGGGCCCCTCAATTCTTCCTCCACCAGCTGGGTTGACCCCACGAGTTGGCACTCAAAGGCACATATTAAGGGTCCTTGCCTGAGCTACAGGGGCCTCTTTTTGGTAGACAGAATTCAAAGCCTCCTTTTCTTCTCCTTGAAATATTAAAGACTTTCTTCATTACGCTCACACGTCTGGATAAACATGGCTTCTAAGGCTCCATGAGGGTAAGGGCGGAAGCCTGGCTCTCCAGCCTGGGCTTCAGCACCGATTCCGACATGTCCTAGTGGTGTTATCTGGACAAGCTTCTGAACCTTCTTGATGACCAGTTTTGTCATCTGTTACATAAGATAACCATGGGGACAGGTAGAAAGCAAGAGCACAAGGCCAACCTCGGTTACCTAATACATGAAAGCTGCTGCCCCACTGTCATGACCATCATGGCATTGGCAGTGACCACTATGGGATCTTCTCTCTGCCATCTTCTAAAAACATGCGGATGGAGTGAAAAATGATCCATGCCCGCTCCCTCTTGCCTACTCGATACCATATCTTTCTCCTCAAAAATAAACAAAAACCAAATATATAAGCCAAGCAAAATATGAGAGAAAAAACCAGGAATGGGAAGTGCAATCTTATTTCCATGTTTCTCTAATAGATTAGTAATTTGTTGGCACTCGCCTTGACAGAAAACAGATGGATCCAGCATTAAGCACAATGCAGGCAGCAGATGCTGGGCCAGCCCACCTCAGCTGGACGGGTCTTGCAGCCAAGTCCGAGAGCCCACAGTTTTCAAGTGGGTTCATCTTGGCACACCAGCTCTGGAAAATTGGTCACCAAATGAATTCAGATTTCAACCCACCAGGAGTTACCGTCAAGCAGCAGAGAGAGGAAGCAGGAGCTAGACTATGCAAGCCACCATTGTCATCTGAGAAGGTTGACAAATAACTCCCAGCCTGCCCCTGGGATATTTAAATTTGCTTGTTATCATCAATATCCCAAGCTTTCTGCTTTTGTGGAACTAGCAAATGTTTCTCCTCGCACATCAAGTTTTGCTGTTCAATTTTAATCATTCAAAGTTGACGAGCATGACCGATGCATGCAATGCTCTGGGTCACTCCCCCAGGTGGCGGCAGAGGACCTGGGGTGCCAGCCAGAGGGCGGATACTGGCCCTGGGCAGGGAAACGTATAATAAACTCTAAGCTGGGGCAAATATATTCGTGAATTAGAGCGACATATGCTTGTGTCTTATTTGGCCAGTGGTGTTCACCACTTCCCATAGCGGTCTGCTGCATGTGATTGTGTCATGCTTACTGAGACAGAACTTACAGACTCCCACAAATGGACACGACCCATACCCACCGCAGAGTGAAGGCACGACTATTTCTATTATGACAAACAGATGCCCTTCTGTGGTCAAGCCTGACCCCATGCCTGCTGCCTGGTGAACACTGATCTGGTTTCTGTTCCGACAGTTTTAATTTGCCTTGTCCACGGTGTCACATGGCTGTCCCCGCAGGCAGCGCCTGTGCCTGGCGCCTTTCACTCAGCATCATATTTTTGAAGTCATCCTTGCTAT